CCCTCCAGCGTATCAACCGAGCCACCCAGCTCACATTACTGTCTCCTTCTGGTCAAAACTAAAGCTTTTGGTGTATTTCAACATAAATGGGGTTTCTTAGAGGTGGTGTGTCCTACAGCATCCCACCAGCTGGCTGGTGTGCAGCCAGAGCTTTCCCTTCTTGTGCCAAGATTCAAAGTCCTCTGTGTTGAGAACTGTTTCTTCTTGGCTCCACCTTGCACAGCATTTCAGGGAGTACGTGGAAGCATAGGACAGTGAGGGAGGCTGGTTGGGTTGAGCCAGGCTCTCTGGGGACCTGTTCAATGCCTTGTACCTGAGAGGGTGTGTGCTGAAGCACAAATCTGTGCCCTTGCACATATGGCTGCATTCGCTTCTGTGTTTCCCTCCCTCAGAGATGACAGAAGCAACGTGCTCTGCTTGCTGAAAAATAAACATTTATTTACATTTCGGAAGAGAGTTAATGTGTAAAATGGGCTCATGAGGTTACAAGGAGCCAGGAAAACCCCTGCATGCCTCTCTAGCCTCAGGCTCAGCTGAGCCTGGCACAGATTCTTTCCTTCCTGGGCTCAAGGCCACCTTTCTTGAAATGCTGCATCTGCAAAAGGCTCTGTCCCAGCCTGAGAACAGAGGGGACTGGAGATATCGAGCCCCCTGTATCCATGTAGTGAAGAGCAAGAGCTGTTTCCTCTCTCCCAGAGCAGCTTTTTCCCAAGGTAAAGCATCATGCGGTACAACAACAGACTCAGCAGCACGTCTATGCTGCTACTGAAGGTAAGAGCAAGGGGGTCAGGGGATGGCATGTGAGCTGCTCTCTGCTCCTATGGGAGCAGAGCACCAGTGTCAGGAAGGGAGCTGTAAGCCACATACATGCAGTACTGCTCCATGCTTCACTTGCAAAGGCAGAGGTGTAGGTGCTCCTGGGTGCCCAGGAGGTGGCAGTTGCAGCTTTGGCACCCTACTGGGAAGCAAACATCCCAAATGCCAGCTGTTGCACATCTGGACTCAGACACACCAGCCTTTTGCCAGCAAAAGAGTCCCTGAGCCAAGTGTGGCTCCTGCCTGGGGCTTCCCAGCTCTCCCTGCTGCAGAGTTGGTGCTGGGCTGGGTGCTGGATCCTTCACACTCCTGTGTGATGCTCCCCTGCCACCAAGGGAGCAGCAGCACTGCCCTTCACGTGCAGGGTGAATGCAGTCCAAGTGCTCAGGCACTGCAGGAAGCTACACGAGTGCTGCTGCTGTGGCTCTGTTCACTGTGAAGGATCTTAGGGGATCTGCTGCAGGAGCAGCTCCAAGGAAGGACCCCCGAGGTGCAGATCTGTGCTGCTGGAGAGCTGATGCAATTATCTGTACCAGCAGTGAGCAGGGTGAGAAGGTGCAGCAGCAGCACCTCCCTATGGAGAATGGTGCGGGATGGCTCTGGGATGGACATCTGAGAGCTTTCGGCATGATGGTGAGATGGTCTTTAGGGCAAGGAGAGCAGGAAGGGGATGCCCTGGATGGGAGCAATGCTGACACAGCCCAGAGCGCAGCAGGAGGTGTTGGTTCACCAGACAAGGGGTGCAGATCTGTGTCAGCAGTGCCGGGCTGAGCAGCATCTCCCATTCCCTGCTGTTTGTCCTCTGCTGATGGACAGGCTCCTCTCCAGCAGCCACCATCCTCTTCTAGAGGTGCCCAGGTTGTTGTGGATGGAAGGGGGTTTCATGAACACATCCGGTGTGTGCCAGTAGAGGTAACTGATGGTAGAAAGGAGCAGCATCCCCCAGTGAGGCTCGTCGGAGGGGGCAAGAGCCAAAGGCCTCTGCCTCCCCTTGGACTGCAGCAGGGGCACATCCCCACAGCAGCTCCAGTGCTCTCACGTGTGGCACAGTGGGGATGCTGGTCCCAGCATGGACATCCCAGGAGTGCTCCCCTCCAGCCGGGTCCCCACACCCACCACAGCCCCTGTCCCTGGTTGTGGGGCCGGTTGCCACATCACTGGGCGCAGCAGAGCACCGGGTGGTCGAGCTTCCAGAGCTGCCACTTCTTCTTCATCTCTGACTTCACCTGCCACAGACAGGAGAAAGCGGGGGCTTTGCCCTGGCTGTGCCCTCCTGCAGCATGAGCAGCAAGGGCTGGTGCAGCAAAGACTGGCTGAGGCAGGGCTGAGCCGTGCTCTGGGCAGGGGCAGCAGTGGGTACGTACCTCCTTGTTGGCAAAACAGTAGAGCACAGCCACAAGGAAGCCCTGGAGGGAGGGTAGGGAAGGAGAGTGAGTGTCATTGGGGCTGAGATGGGCCCAGTCTCCCCAGGCCTCTCTTGGGCACTTTTGAGGCCGAGGTCCCCCTGCCACCACAGGCTTGGAGAGCACAGGAGGCACCATCATGCACTCAGCAACAGGGCTAGAGGTCCCCATCCCTGAGGCTGGAGCACTGTGGGGTGGGGATAATGTGCTGGAAGAGGGACCCCCCCAATTCTTGCTCCACGGTATACCCACAGCAGAGCAAAGGCTCCCACCTCACCTGGAAGGAGTTGAGTAGAACACCTTGATGTAGCGCAGGATGCCTGTGGTTTGCTCGTCAGTGGCGAAGATGAAGACAACCTCATGGATCCCAAAGAGGGGGATGAGGGTGAGTGTGGCTTTGGCCAGCCTGAAAGAGAATAAGGGGACGCCTCCAGCAGTGAGTACTGAAGTGCTGGGACACAAATACAGTCAGGGATGAGTTCTTTGGTGATCTCAGGGTGGTTGTTTCACAATATGCAGGATGGAGGTGCAGGGTAGGGGTGGATGGAGAGGTGGAGGTGATGTAGACCCAGGACAGGAGGAACCTTGACCCTGTCAGCTCACCGCAGCTTGTAGTCTGCGTAGCCCTTCTGGTTGGCCCGGAGCTTGGCCAGGATCACCTTGAGGATCCGCATGAAGATCAGCAGGTTGATCTGCAGAAGGAGACAGTGGAGGGTCCCACACAGCCCCACACCCTGCACAACCCGGCACCCTGCACAGCCCAGCACCCTGCACAACCTGACACCCTGCAGAGCAGGGCGCTTTGCCCCTCACAGCCCACCCTGACAACAATAAACACCCATGGGTGCTGTGGGAGATGACACCCTCCCATACTGTCGAGGCTGCTGCAGCCCATCAGCACTGGGTCTCCACAGCTTCCTCCCCTCCCACCACCCCAAAATCCTGGCTGGAAAGCAGTGGGGGCCACCTCCAGCCCCATTCTGTGGGGCTTAGCACAGCCACCCCTTCATGGAGCCCCAGGACTCATGCGTTAGCAAGCTGGTGCACAAAACAACCCATGTGTGTTTAGCACAATGCCTTGGAGAGCTGCTGCTCTCGGGAAAGCCGTGGGGCTGTGGTGTTCCTACCAGGGAGGCGAGCAGGATGGGGATGCGGATGATCCACCAGTAAGCCATGTTCTCATTCAGCGCCCAGCACCTGTGCAGGGGCACAGGGAGAGCAGCACTAGCACACCATGTACGGGGGCAGGATGAGGCCAAGAGCGTGCCCAGCATGGTGGGTCAGGGACCCACAGCAGCCTCTATCCTACTGCCCATCTTGGGCTGAGCACCCCAACAGGACCTCCCATCCCTCCCCACTCACTCCGCATTCTCCTTCAGATACTTGGCGGCCACCCAGGGCACGACAAACACCACGGGGGTCCCTGCAAGTCACACAGCAAACCCTGTAAAACCAAGCACCCGCCTGAGCTCAGAGACCGGCCCCGAGGCAGGGGGCACTGTGGGGACACCCAGGGCCAGCAAAGCCTCCTCCCCGCACCCTCTCAGCACCACAGCCCCCACTGACCCCAGATCCTGTCCCCAGCCCCACTGCACGCCCGGGTGGCTCCTACCCCAGCCCAGGTAGAGGTAGAGCCTGTAGTAATTCTTCTCAGAGAAGACAGCCCCGATGAGCAGCTTGTAGAGGTAAACGGCTTCCACCAGGAACCAGTAGTGGTTGGCCAGGATGCAATACTGCATCAGCACCTGCGCAGCCCGGCAGCCCAGCGCTGCCTGTGAGGGGAGACCCACCATAGGGCACTCAAAAGCTCATCCACGGGGCACAGGCACCCCAAGAGCTCACCCAAAGGGTCTTAGCGTTGCACAACCACCCCAAGAGCTCACCCATCAGGGGCATGGGCACCCCATGAGCTCACGCACCAGATTCCTGTGGCTGCATGAGCACCAGCACACGCTGCACCCCCCTCCCTGGGGCAATCCCAGCCCAGCCCCACGCAGGGACCCCCGTGGGGCAGCACTCACCTCATGGCTCAGCAGAGCCTCCCAGTCAGCCACCCGCACCAGCTCCATGCCCCAGCGCCTCTCCAGCAGCGCGTCCTTCACCATCACTGAGGTCGCTCGCAGCCCGAAGGAGGCAAAGAGGTTGGCGTGGATGTAGTTTCTGGTGCAGCGGAGCTTCCTGCGACAGTGAGAGTGTGGGGGGCACCCCCCCACTGGCTGGGGAGGACAAGGGGCAGGACCGTGTCCCCTGCCTCTCCTACCTGAATACGGTGAGGACGAGCAGGGCAGAGACAAGGGTGAGGAGCGACAGCGAGTACCCCACGGTGTAGAGCACCCTGAAGCTCACCATCAGCCTGCGGGCACCCTCCTGCAGGCCAGCACCATGTTGGTGAGCCAGGGCCAGCAGCACCGTGCTGCATGGCCAGGGCAAGGCACCCACCTCCTCCACGGTGGCCTCCGTCTCCTCCTCGCACTGTGAGTAGTCACGCCAGGGCTGGCTGCCATTCACCGTCACCCACTGCCCGTCAGCACCGCACCTGCGGCTCACCAGCCCATGCTTCACTGCAGACACCAACACCAGGTTCCCCTTGAGTTCCCCAAAACCCCACTCCTGGCACAGTGGGTCAGGCTCTGCTCAGCCCCAAAGACCCTCTTCCAGGGCAGATATGGCTCTGTTCATGCCCCACACATCCCCTCACACCCAGCTCTGCTGTGGGCCTCTTTTCCCCCAGCAGTGGACAGGAGGGAAATCCGCAAGAGCATCTTCCCACCTCCCAGCATGGCTCAGCCCTGGCTCCAGCTCCAGGCTGGCAGAAGGTCATAGAATCATAGCATCAACTTGGTTGGAAAAGACCTTTAAGATCATCAAGTCCAACCGTTCCCCAGCACTGCCAAGGCCACCACTAAACCATGTCACTGAGGGCCTCATCTACATGGTTAGTGAA